AAAATAAGAAAACATAACTCAACTACTTACTACTTGATTGACCAAAGATGTAGTAACTTGGTCAACATAATCAAGTTGGATGAACAACACCAATGATAATTTGAACAATCTATCCACAATACCAATAACATATAAGGTATATAATCATACGTGATTAGTCCAACATTAAGCTTTCTTAAAACCAAATTCCTACAAGTTCCATATCTTATGAATGACAGAAAGATACCATATCCAGAGTGGCGGCCCTTCCTCTTAGCTTCCTTCATGCGTCTTGCACGAGAACGAGAGTGAATCTTGGTTGGCTTTCTGATGATGAAACCATCCTTGACCAGCTTCCTGATGTTCTGGCCTGCAATTTGATCCATATAAACCCCATCAAAGACGCAATAAAAGTAGAAAATAATGCTACAAAAGCCCACAATCCTACCATGTCAACTAGTAAAAAATTCCTCAGAAATGTCGCAGAATTCCCAAACATAATAACACAACTACAATTCCATTCAACCTACTTACTAAAACATAGAAAAAACTAAAACAATTTGATTAAACTTAAAAGTTAACCTTCAGCAAACAAAACCCTAGTAAAACTAATCATTTCTCAGAATTGATGAGATTATGACTGAAAAGGGAATTAATAACTTGATTTTCTTTTATTTCGAAACTAGAACTATTGAAAATATAACAAACAGTAAAGAAGTGAATTATCATCCATCCACGATAACAGAGCAATAAAAACAAGCCTATCTACTTACAAACTATTATAAGAAAGTCGCATGAACAAACTTAAGACAGGAAAAATCGTGTGCATAAGCACACGACTTTAATAAGCTTAACAGGTAAAAATAACGCCTCAAACTAAACATCTTCAGAAGACGCTAACCCGCTTGTTCAGACAAAACTCTGACCTTTCAATTCGTTTGATCAAAGAACTTGAGACGTACAAAAGAAATTAGAGAGAGAGAAAATGGTACGACAAAAAAATGGGACAAAAAAAAATAAGAAGGAAGACGTACGAGAGTTGGCCATGGAGATTTCATTGACTTCATTTGGATCGAGCCAGACCTTCCCTCTGCCGCACTTGAGGACGCTGGCTGCCAGACGTTTTTGAAGCTTGAGCGAAACCATCTTTGTTGTGCGTCTCTCTTCGCAGCTGCTAAATCAGAGAAGATAAGAAAAGTCGAGATTGAGGTTATATATACCAAGGGTTAGCGCTAGGGTTTCCATAATCCATATGCCTTTCTTTCTTCTCTGGGCCGGTTCGGGTTTGAGTTTTATGACATTAATGGGCCTTAAACATGCATCCCGACACCAACCCAATGTTTAATAGCAAACACACTCCAGATTGCTTCTAACAAAGCCCGCTCCGTTAAAAATGGGTTTAGTGCATTTAGTACTACTCCAAATGAATACTAACACATCCATGGGCCTTACAAATGGGATTTGGTCAAAGATTGGAACACACCCTTCACCCTTGGGTTTCTTTAGAAATTTGGTTGGTGTCCTGATGACGAAAGAGACGCTATTTTATTTTTAGGTTGCTTTTGGTTTAGGGTGAAATAGGATTAATCCTGTAATGGTTGTTCAATTTTTAAGATTCCTTTGTTTGATTGTCAAGTAATAAAATATTACGGAATCTTTTATTATAAATAGTATTTACTGTTGGTAGTATTGGGAGTAATCAAATTACATTCCCAATGGGGTGTTATTATAAGATTATCAGGCTAATCTTAATTTTGACCCTATTTTGCCCTTAATATTTTATCATTTTGGACACATTTGTCTTCATATGTCTACCAAATAACCATTAGCTCAAACCCTCTATATTTGAGAATTTACCTAAAACATTCCAGCCACAAAAAAAAAAAAAAATTAAAGGTTAACAAAATACCCTAAGTCACCCAAGACTATCGCTCGTTGGCAACCACCACGGCCACCCGTTGGCGAAAGTCGTCATATCAGCACAAACTGGTGGGATATTGCTGGTTGTGTGCCAATAAGGATGTTTCCTACCATGGATCAAAATGGCCTAATCTGGCTATTTCACAACCAAATCTGATCGAGAAAGGTCTGATCGACGCATAATTAGCCAGATCTGCCTGGTTGTGCGCCATTACGATGGATACTGGCGGTGGTGACTAGCTGCGAGAAGTGGCTTAGGGTGGATGGGAGTGATTTTGCTACAAATTAAAGTTTTATATGGCTGTGGTGTTTTAGCAAAATTTCAAATATAGGGGGTTAAAAGAAATGATTCAAAAAATAATACTAAGGTTGTGTTTGGTTCGGGGTGATATAAGATTAATCTTGTAATCTTTGTTTAATTTTCAAGATTCCCTCGTTTGGTTGTCAAGTAATAAAATATTACGTAATCTTTAATTGCAAATAGTGTTTACTATTGGTAATATTGAGGATAATCAGATTACCTTCACAAGGGGTGTTAATATAAGATTACCGAGGTAATCTTAATTTTGACCCTATTTTGTCCTTAATCTTTTATCATTTCGGACACATTTGTCATCATATGTCTACCAAATAACAATTACCCCAGACTCCTTATATTTGAGAATTTAGCTAAAACACCCCCGCCACAAAAAAGTTTAAAAGTTAACAAAATACCCCCAACCACCCAAAACCACCGCCGGCCGCTAGCCACTATCGCTAGCCACTGGCGAAAGTCGTCATATCGGCACAAGACCGTCGAGATCTTGTCGGTCGTGTGCTGGTAAGGATGTTTCCGGCCATGGATTTGTGATCCATGGTTGGAAATGACCAGATGTGGCCATTCCACTGCCAAAGATGTGGCCGTGAAATGGCCGCCATTTCACGGCCATATTCGCGGCCAGATCTAATTGTTTTTTATCCATGGCCAAATTAGGCCTTACCGCCATTTCACGGCCATATTCGCAGCCAGATCTAATTATTTTTTATCCATGGCCAAATTAGGCCTTACCGGTGCACGACTAGCCAGATTCGGCTAGTTGTGCGCCATTACGGCAGCTACCAACGATTGTGGCTAGCTGCCAATGGTGGCTTGGGGTGGATAGGAGTGATTTTACTCTAAATTAAAGTTTTATATGATTGGGGTGTTTTAGTAAAATTTCAAATATAGGGGGTTAAAAGAAACAATTTAAAAAATAATAGAATAAAATATTATTATATTATTATTTAAAAAGGAGGGCAATTTAGTAATTTATATAACATACCCACTCATTTATCCTCCCAACCAAACATATTATTATAACTAAGGGTGTTCGGTTACGAGTACCCTGCACTTTTTTAAGGAACCGGAACCGACGGTTCCTTGAAATTTGGAATCAGAACCGGAACCGACAGTTTCGGTTCCTAGGTACCCAGAACCAGAACCTGTAACAACGGTTCTGGTTCTGGTTCTGGGTACCCTATAAAATTACAATGACCCCTCAAAAGTTTTTAAAATGACAAAAAAAACCCTTAAAAACTTACAAATACCCCCCCACCTGGCACTTGTTAACAAAAATAAAATTGCAAATTATAAATTCAAAATTACAAACTCCATTACTTTGTAAAGGTAGATTCCCAAAAGTCAAACCAACTTACTTTAAATGTTATGAAATATAAATATAAATATAAATATATTCACATTACTTTTTCTACAAAAGTTTTTATTAAACCCCTAATATTTAATTTTATTTTATATTAGTCTCTGTTCCTGGTTCCTGGTTTCGGTTCCAAAAATTTGGAACCGGAACCTACCCATTGACGATTGGTTCTGGGTAGGAACCGGAACCAAACCCAGGGTACCCGTCGGTTCTTGTTCCAATCCTTTTCTTTTGAACACCCCTAATTATAACATACTCACATATTTATTCCAACCAATCAAACACATTTCTCTAAAGATTCCCTAGTAATATAACATTCCCCGAACCAAACGCATCCTAAAATTAATATTATATTATTATTTAAAAATGAGGGCAATTTAGTAATTTATATAACATACCTACTTATTTATCCTCCCAATCAAACATATTAATATAACATACCCGCCAAATATATTTCTCTAAACATTCTCGAGTAATTTATCTTTCTTTTCATATAACATTCTCCAATAATATATTATTCTCTAAACCAAACGCTACCTTATAGATATTTAAACAGCGTTGATTATGTCATCACAATGAACAAGTGGACACTTACTCACACAAGTCCAAACAAAACAGAGATTTAAAATTCAATAATCAATAAAAGTAATTTAATTTAACTGAATTTACACATCTTTATTTTTTGAAATTAAATTTCCAATAATTAGTAGAATTAAAACAAATATATACGTTTATAATAAATAAAGATACATATTCAAAGTTGACTTCCAATTTTGTATCCTAATTTATGTGCATCTCATATCATATGTACAGGGATGAAAGATGGAAAATTGGCGGTAAACACGCGGGGTGGCAACAGTGTTAATGAAGTACAATTGTACTACATGAAGAGAGAAACGTACAAGTCTTTGAGGCCCAAACCATAGGCGCACACGGCACACCAAACGCCACTTCAAAACATGAAACATGCAAGGGTAAAAATAAAATAATCACAAAACCAGTGGCGCCGTTGGGATTATTGAATCCAGCAAAATCTCTGCTATTTGCCAACTATTATGCTTTCTACTTCCTTTATTGTCTGCACCTACTACCGCCTTGGATTCTCAAATTGCAGGGCATGCATTTGACACTTTAAACCTTCTCGCAGGGGTTTCCAAATTCTTCCTAATCTTTTTTAGCCCCTTTAATATTTGAAAATTCGAATAAATATTAATGAAAATAATTGTATTAAATATTTATTTTAATTCTTTTGCAAAGTCAGGATTTTCTATGATTAAGGCCTTCATAATTCGATTATCTACACGTGATGGTTATGTGGCGCACAAGAACAATGTTTCAGGCATTCAAGGCAAGCTAAAACCCCAATAGACGTATCAAGAGAATTACTAATGAGAGCAAGTTAAAGCAGGGGAAACAAAACGTGAAACGCAAATATAAGAAAATACCGAATTTAAGTACAATTTCATTAAATTAAACCTCCATAACAACATGAGCGCTAATCTTAGCTAAAATTATGAATCTAAACACAATCGTAGAACAACAGACTAATGACCGATTTCAAGGAATTTATACACAATACAAGACGCAAATAATTAAAAACAACAAAAACGGCGCATGGTTACAGCGGCATTGAGTTCGAAGTGGCGGCAGCATTGGCTTCATCATCAAAGCTCCAAAGATCACCAACAACACTTTCTTGGACAGTACTATTGGGCATCGGTGATTGGCCATCCAGATAGGGAATCTGATAGAACTTCATGAAATTTTCGTATGCAACTAGCTCCTCTGACAACTTCTGCACTTCGTTCTCTTCCTCTTGAGCTTTTCGCATTTCCTCCTCTTTCACATTAACTTGAGCATCATTCACGTTCTGCACCTCTGTTGAATCATAGCCAAACTCAGAACCAGAACCAGAGACATAATTGTCCCCAACAGGAGAAACAATCTGGTCAGCAATCTCTACTCCATATCCTCCAATCTGGTTCAGATCATAACCAAACTCCAAACCAAATGTTTTAGATAAATTATTACTAAAATCACCAGTTTGGGGTTGATGACGAAGGGGATTAGGTTTTGGATTATGGTGAAATTGGTGGCTGGTGAAGCTGTCGTCTTCGTTTGGGAAGTTGACTTTGGCTTTCTTGCCACGAATCTTGCGGGCTTCTCTGTCGTAGGCACGGGCTGCTTCTTCAGCGGTGTTGAAGGTACCAAGCCAGACTCGGACCCCTTTTCTTGGGTCACGAATCTCAGCTGCCCATTTGCCCCAGGGCCGTTGCCTTATTCCTCTGTACAAGTTCTTCCTCTGCCTTTTCGCTTTCTTTTCCACTTGCCCATTACCTGGATCAGTTTCTGTTCAAATTTCAAACTCAGAAGGCTTTCTTCATAAATAAAGAAAGTGATAGATAAACTAAAAAAAAAAAAAAAGGGAAAAGTGTGTACCTGAAGAGATAGTCTGTGGTCGTTTGAGTGAGTAGTCATGTGCGTGAGGAAAATACTCAAAGTTGTTCTTGGGTTTGGTAGCAAAGGGTGAGTTAGGCCAGAGGTCTGAAGCAGTGACACGGCTGCCACCTCGGCGAGGTATGAGGTCTGCTATGATAGCACCGCCACACATGTTTAAGTTTATGAAGAGAGAGTATTTATGTAAATTGAGATGTAAAAGAGAGATGATATTAAGAGGATATGAGTATATGACAGCAAACAAAAGGGTTTAAGGACTTGGAATTGTTTGAATTGGGAGAGAGAAGATTGATGGGGGGTTTTGTATTGAGAGGAAAAGTGGGTGGGGTGCATAACAGAGTATTTTAGGAAGTTTTTTCAGATTTTCGTGTCCTGGTAAATTAATATTTGATAGTCTTCTAGAGTCTAGATTATCTTACTATTTCAGTATTTCTTACCAACTTGGCAACCCTATCTCATTTTTAATTCAATTACTTAATTAACCTTCAAATCCACTACACTCGGAGCCAGCTGCTCCTTAACTAGCCCTCTCCCATTTGTATTTGAATTCTTCCGTTTTTTATGACGTAAGTTTATTTTTTTATTTTTTATATAATATATATGTATCCTCGTCTATTTTATACTTTTTTTTTTTCTAATTTTAAATAAATATTATGTCTCATTTAATTTAATAATAATGAAAAGACAAACTTAGTGATAATACAATAAATTTAGCTAAGCCAGAGCATGTATATCATTATCATGTGGTCTGGAAGGGTCTAGAATGTGGGAGTGAAATTGACAATATTTTTATACAATGAGGCCTCAGACCTGTCACTACATATTATATTAGAATACTGCCGCTAAAATGCTAGTGTCTCCGGAAAGTCGATAATTTTGACTTCAAACTTTGGATGGTCAAGTCAGAGTTGATAGCTGCTTGATTTCAGAAAATGCTTAAAACTGTCTCTAATACTAACAACGGTTTATCACAATATACTTTTTTTTATTTTTGTGCATGTCAAGTTGGACATATTAAAATGAAGGGATGGATTGTTGTCCAATTTACTCTTTGCTTCTAATACGAGAGATTGATCATAGAGATAGTAACGTGATATTTTAAGCAGCGTTTGATTGGGGGTTACGTGGAATTATTGTGATTATACCATCTTATATTACTTGATTACTATGTTTAGTTGTCAAGTAATATAAGATTTTTGTAATATTCAAATACCAATAATAGTTGTTGTTGGTAATATTGAAAGTAATCTGATTATCTCCATTTTCTTAGGTATTGTAAGATTACTAGGATAATCATTTTTTTATTACAATTCTATTCCTTATTAATAAAATTTTAGGACAATAATACCGTTACTTTTAAATTTATTTACATGAATCTTGCTTTTACCATTTCAACCCAATTAATTAACTTTTTGGATAAAATTACCCTTGAAATCAAAACAAATTTCAACTTACCCAAGCCACCACCCCCACCCACCTGCCGTCGCCTATCGCCAGCCAAATCACGCCGCCTGCCACGGGAAGTCGCCAAAGTCACCTGGAGTTGCCGGGAGTAGCCCACTAAGAGGCTTCGATATGACCGTTTCTGGCCATATTGATGGCCGAAAAGGCCATATCGGGAGTAGATTTGGCCGGAAATTTTCTGGCCATTTTCAGCCAGATTGATGGGTTTGGCCAGCCATATCTGAATGAGATATGGCCGTTAACAACCATATCTATTCCGACCAAAATAGATCTAGTCGTTAACAGCCAGATCTAGTCTAATATGACCGTTTTTTGCCATAAAAACGACCATATTGAGGCCTCTCGGTCATGGTGGGCTACTCACGGTGACTCCAGGCAACTTCCAACGGTGGTTTGCTGTGGCAGCAAGCGGCGGCAGGGTGGTGGGTGTGATTTTGTTATAAATTAAAGTTTTATGTAAGCATGGGTGTTTTAGCTAAATTTGAAATCTTGGGGGTTAAAAGAATTATTTAAAAATTAATAATAAAAATAATATTATATAAATATTTAAAAAGAGGGCAATTTAGTCATTTAAATAACATACCCACCAATTTATTCCTCCTAACCAAACATATTAATATAACAATACCCACCCATTTATTCTAACTAACCAAACACATTTTCCTAAAGATTCTTAGTAATCTTCAAGGTAATATAAGATTCCAGTAATCCAACATTTCCTAAACCAAACACGTCCTAAATATTATATAACATTATTAGATTGTATGAGTAATATAATATAACATTAGAGTAAACGACATGTTCCTACATGAGGTTTAGCGAAATCCCAAGTTCATTCCCTGGTTACATTTATTCCAAATTTCACTTTTAAACTAACATTGTTAGGGATTTTTAGCTTCTGACACAGATGCAATGACTGCAATTACCAAAGTGCCTTTGAACCACCCATTTAGGTCGGGTGGCAGACAACGATTGATAAGTAACCACTGTTATATGAGATAGGGTTTTGTTAAGGAGATTTTGGTATTGATGGTGGGGGAAGGTGGAGTTTTTGGCGTCAGAAATGGCCGAAATCCAACTAGGAAGTGAGAGGTCGCAAGGTGAGTGGCGAATGGCAATTGATGAGCAACCATCATCCGGTGAGATGCGGGTTATGTTATGGAGATGTTGATGGTGCTAATGGTGGGGGCAGGTGGAGTTTGTGGCGTTGGGAACGACCAGTTGGCCTAAAAGTGGCAGTTGTGCTGGTGGGAGGGTGGTTGCTATAGGTGGGTGCGCAGGGGTTGCTTGCACGCGCTGTCTAGTTCTTTTCCTTGAGCATCTGGCGTGCCCTCAAGAGGAGGAGAGTTGGGAATGGTTGGGTGATGATGGAGACCCAGAAAAAGACCCACAATCCCAAAAAAAAAAAAAAACGTAACACAACACTCCATTAGCAACAACCAACACAAAACTACAAAAAAAATCAGCCTCCAAAAAGCTCCAAAATGAGCAAATCACAAAAACCCAACAGCTAGAGGGCAACATTCAATGACAGATGACCGGAAGGCAACCAGTGATGGGGTTTGAGGGCTTTTGTAGAGTGGAGGCCAGTGGTTAAGAGGGTGGTGGAAGATTTGATTTTGGTGGCTGGATTTGATCGAAATTTAACTTAGAAAGACAAGAGGTGGTTGGTGAAAAAATGGTTGGTGACGGCAAAAACGGTGGAATCTGGGCTAATTTGAGGTGGGAAAGCGTTAGATTTGCGAAAAGGAGTTGATTTTGACTAGTTTCGGTGAGAAAATCAACCAGTGGCGACGACGGCATTTTCGACCAAAAACAGGTAATTAGGCTACGAACCAAGGGTATTTTNACCCAGCCATTTATTCCAACTAACTAAACACATTTTCCTAAAAATTCTCAATAATCTTCAAGGTAATATAAGATTCCAGTAATCCAACATTCCCTAAACCAAACGCACCCTAAATATTATATAACATTATTAGCTTGTATGAGTAATATAATATAACATTAGAGTAAATGACATGTTCCCACATGAGGTCTAGCGAAATCCCAAGTTCATTCCCTAGTTACATTTATTCCAAATTTTCACTTTTAAACTAACACTGTTAAGTACTGTTAGGTTCTGACACAGATGCAATGACTGCAATTGCCAAAATGCCTTTGAACCACCCATTTAGGCCGGGTGGTAGACAACGATCGATGAGTAACCATTGTTCGATGAGATGGGGTTTTGTTAAGGAGATTTTGGTACTGATGGTAGGGGAAGGTAGGGTTTTTAGCGTCAGAAATGGTCGAAATCCAGCCAGGAAGCGAGAGGTCGCAAGGTGGGTGGCAAATGGCGATTGATGAGAAACCATCATCCAGTGAGATGGGGGTTATGTTAAGGAGATGTTGATGGTGTTAATGGTGGGGGTAGGTAGAGTTTTTGGCGTTGGGAACAACCGGCTGGCCTAAAAGTGGCAGTCGTGCTGGTGGGAGGGTGGTTGCTATAGGTGGGTGCGCAGGGGTAGCTTACGCGCGCTGTTGTGTTCTTTTCCTTGAGCATCTGGCATGCCCTTAAGAGGAAGAGAGTTGGGAATGGTTGGGTGATGATGGAAACCCAGAAAAACACAAAACGCAACACAACACTCCAATAGCAGCAACCAACACAAAACTACAAAAAAAATCAGCCTCCAAAAAGCCCCAAAACGAGCAAATCGCAAAAACCCAACGACGAGAGGGCAACATTCCATGACCAACGACCGGAAGGCAACCAATGATGGGGTTTGAGGGCTTTTGTAGAGTGGAGGCCAGTGGTTAAGAGGGTGGTGGAAGATTTGATTTTGGCGGCCGAATTTGATCGAAATCTGACTTAGAAAGATAGGAGGTGGCCGGCAAAAAAATGGTTGGTGAGGGCGAAAACAGTGGAATCTGTGCTAATTTGAGGTGGGAAAGCGTTGGATTTGCAAAAATGAGTTGATTTTGACTAGTTTCGATGAGAAAACTGACCAGTGGCGATGGCGGCACTTTCGACCAAAAACAGGTAATTAGGCTACGAACCAAGGGTATTTTAACTCTTTTACCTTTTAACTGTTAAAGTAAAGGAAAAGTCATTAGTTCAAGTGATTGCATGCAGTTATTGCTTGTCTTCACTTCTCTTAGAACCGGACTAACCCCTCGTCAAAGGGCTATGAGAGACAGTTCTAAAGAGTATACCTCTTGACAACACTTGTTGATGATGTTTTGGATCTTTCCCGACTTGAAGATGGTAGTCTAGAATTAGAAATTGGACCATTTATCTTCATGGAGTTTTCAGAGAGGTAATTACTACTAATTCGGCACTAAAAATAAGCTTGCTCCTTTACAGTTCTCATAGGCATCTTAATTACTCATTTATTTTTGTATGTAATTGTAGGTCATTAATTTGATAAAACCTATTGCATCTGTAAAGAAGTTTCCATGAATAGATTATGGCACCGATTTACCAACATACTCGATTGGTGACAAGAAACGGCTCATGCAAACTATTTTGAACATTGTGGGTAACGCTGTAAAGTTACAAAGGAGGGTTGTGTTTCGATTAAGTTTCTGTTGCAAACCATTTCTCAAGAGACTGGCGACCTGAATTTTACCCTGTGTCAAGCAATGGCCATTCTACCTACAATACAGGTAGTTGACTACTGCATTTAACTTCACTAAGCTTGTTTCATTTGAGTTTCCTGTCTTTTGCTCTCTCCGGTTGTACCTTATAAAGTTCAAGGTACCTTACTAAGATTTGCTGTTTAAAATTTGAGAGCTTTCGAAGTCATATGGGTAAGTTGAGGTGCTCATATAAAGTATGGGCTTGTGGGTGTGACCGTGTGATTCATTTAGCTAGTCTCTCTTCATTCCCGCTTTGTAGAGAGTGTTG